CCCCCCCCCCCACATACACACAGACTTCTTAAGCTTTCCATGTAAACTTAACATTTCTGAGGACATCCGCCCTCTTTTCTAAACACCACCCACATTTTGATTCACCGACCGCTTCTGTAAAGTATAATATTATAGTGGCGTCCAAAAAATATTTTAAAATGTGAACTCCCAAGCATCGTGTTAAAGCCTTGCACAACCCACTCAAGCAGCATACCTATTTAAAGCTGTTTAAATTCTGCATCATCTGAAACATTAATATTTCATCTATATCAAGACACGTCGGAGATATGGTTACGTTACTCAAAACTGACCTTTAAAAATCAGACTTTGCAAAAGTGTGAAATCAAAGAAACATAAAATGTCTTAGCGCGTGTATTGAGGAGCATCAATATTGATAGAATGGATATACCTTGCATATTTAATGTATGGAGAATTTTATATCTTCTGCAATAAACAATATTTTGTTACGATATTTTTGTCACGATAGTTTTAAACAAAACGGGAAGCAGAGCAATCACAAATACCACATAAAACTTAGACTGAACCTTAAATGTACTCATTATTTTTTTGCCTAGTAGCCATTAATTTTGTGTAGAGCACCCTATTAATTTTGGACATGACCACTTGTCATTTGACATCAAATTTCGCAGAAAGTTGCAGACAATAGGTCTGAACTGGGAGCAAAGTAGTCACTTTTCTTCAGTTGCTGTGTTATGGAACCTCATATCGGGATATCCGGGGCTGTTGACTGGAGATCACTCCAAAGTTGATATGATTTGAATTTCCGAGAATTGTTTACGGTCAGTGGTCCTGTGAGAAAAGGTTTCGCTATGTTTAGAGATGTCTACTTAAATGACAGCTTGATGAAAATAATTGTAAGACGTGACGTTCCAGCACTTGCGCGATGTAGTCATCTAAACCAAGCTATCTGTTGATTCTCACGTGGGCGGTTTTGTTCATTCCACCCCAGACCACCCAAAAACTATGGCATTTTCGTGGCTTCTGTTCCTCACTGACAGATGACTATGCCCAAAATCGAATACAGTCCATGTGCAAATAGGTTTTCGTGCTTTACTCGAAACCAATAGCTCCTAAAGAAAATCAAAATTATGCACCAGTTAAGTCCGGGTTTTAATGGCATTTGTGACTGCTCTGTTTTCCAGTCTGTTTGAAAATATCATCAGAAGATACTGTTCATTGCAAAGACAATAACATTTTCTTTTCATTTGATATTCAATACATGTCCTTTCCACCAAAGTTGACCACGAATTTTGATGCACCTCAGTATTCGCGCGAACACATTTTTGTTTTTCTTTGATTTCTCACAACTTTACCTAGGATAATGTTTTAAGGTCAATTTGAATGACAATATGTCGGGCGTATCTTAACATACATGAAATATTAATATGTTAATATGGTGAAGAATTTATTTAGCTTTAAATTAGTATGCTGCATAAATGGGTAGAGCAAGGCTATAACATGATGATTGGGTGATTACGTTTTCAAGTTTCTTTTGAACGTCACTGTATATAAACACACCGCCTCTTAAATCTTGAAGACGAAATAACTTCTCCCACCCACATATCGCGAAATACTACACGTCAGCAGAAGTTGTGCCTTTCGTCAGCTCTCTGTGTCGCCCTGAATTATAGACCTTAATTTGTAATAATATCCTTGATCGGACACTGTCATGGCTGCCACTTTTTGCTATCGATAAAAATCTTGCAGTGCTCGGGCACATCATGGAGGCACAAAAATGAAAAGCAGAAACACCCTCCTCGCTAAAGTCGAGTGCTCTGGCAACTTTTTCCTCTTTCTATTGCCCTCTATTTAGTTCTAAATACATGTAGAGCCAATTTGTGCCCTCTGTGGTGAACTGGAATTACACCCATGTGCACAGTCTGGAATACCGTAATACAAATATGTGCCCTAACTGCAGAAATTAGTAGTACAGCTTGCTCACACACAGACTTACATACACTCTTTCTCTCTCTCTCTCTCTCTCTCTCTCTCTCTCTCTCTCTCTCTCTCTCTCTC